TGTTTTGGGAAAAGAATCCTTTATTCTGTCCTTACTTGCGGATGTGATGCAAAAACATCATTAAATTGCATTGGATAGCGGTCAAAATCGGTATTTTCGTTGAAATATGATACCCGAAATTTTTCGCGATTACAATACTTCCTTTTTACTTCGTACAAGGTGAGTTAAGTTCTCTGTATATATATCATGCAATCAAATCGATTTCCAGAAAATCCTTTATGTCTTCCCACATATGTCATCCACCCTCTTTTCAGCAACTGACCATTGCTGACAATTCATCGACATGATCACGTGCCTTGCTGAGTCTTACTTTTCTTCGCCCACCCTCACTAAATCGAGATGTCAGATTGGAAACTAATAGTCGCCAAATAGTTATCATTTGCCTTCGGAATATATATGGATTTAGCTGAAACCGGACGGAGTCTTTTAGGCATAAGACTAGTGAGGGTAGAGGCAGGGGATTTCCTCGTCCGCCCTCCATTCGAACCTCCCTCATCTTAATTAACCCCTCGGTGTCTTTAGCTCCTCTGTCTCCCTGGCAACCCATTCGGACGGTCGTCATTAATTACGATACCCCGCTCAGAGGCAAGGGAACCTTGTAATTTTGTCGCTACCAATTCCAGTGTCTCCCCTGCCATGGCGACAGAATTTATATCTGTATATCAGTTCCGATATGGAAGTAGTGTGCCCGAGAAATAGTGGTTTCTGTCTTTGTTTGGTATCAACCCTATAGTTGGTGTCCTTCGGAAGGCTGCCTGCGTCAAGTTCATTGATTCGCGAATTCATCAACTGTAAACCTAAAATTTGAAGTTTTGGTGAGTAATAAAGTAGGTGTGGCCAGAAAGTTGTATCCTATCTGCCTGTTAAAAGGAGTTTAAGTTGCCGTTATTGTGATTTATTCAGGATTAAAGAAATAATTCAGAACGCTCTTTTAGTCTGTCTGTTAGAGTTGGTTTTAAATGGAGCATTATGATACCTAATTTTTAATTGCTGGTAGCTCTAGTTTGTTGTACACGTAATTAAAATGTTACATAAGTGATATTTTCCTGTTAAATTTTCAGCAGAAAAATGATCTTAATACTTATACGACACTTTATATTCAAGTGTATTTATGATTTGGAGGAATTTTGTTTCTGCTATAGCGACTGTGTTTATGACGATACAGTAAATTGTATACGTATAGCAGTAAGCAAACTAGTGCAATAGAAAATTGTAATAACTCTTGAGTATTCTGTATTAGTTTTAGTAACCACTTAATAATATACGATGAAAGAAAAAAAGAACAACTTTGCAATTGATTTCAGGAGAAAATACTATTAATGAATTATCAATGAAATAATTAATTAGATGGGAAACAACTCCGTGTTTCAACTATTGATCAAACAACTGGGAACAGTACTGAAGCATAAAATATTTAAATAATAAATTGTAAATTATTTCGAAAATTACAAAATGGATCCTGAACTGATCCCTGAATGAAAACAAAAATAAAAATTTTGAAGTGTGCTTACGAATTATTTCTTAATTTCAGCTTTAAATAAATAATCCATTATCAATCATAAATACCCTAAAACAGAATTCTAAATATCTGAATAGATTTTACATAACGTGATAATTTTTACAGTCAATGCATATATAATTTTTAAATGCATTTATTTTTAAAACCACCACAAAAGTATAGCACATATACACTAGCACATTAGCACATATCGATCCATGTTCGCATCATGGCAAAAAGTCTGGCAGTGTAGACGATTTTATCATTTTCTCCATGCATTATATGAATACGAACCAGTCTTCCACGGTCGTTAGGTAGAGAGCTTAGCCATAATCAACTAAATTAAAGATTTTGCTATGTGTAATTGCAGGCTTTCAGTGTTCGGGTGTTCATAAGTTGTCAGTATATTTTAAAGGATGTAGTGGTAGATGAATCTTGAATAATTTATTGGCGTAGCGTAATTTAAGATTGGATGTCAAAAATATTACCATGTGAGTTACGTGGCTTGTTTTCTTAAGATGCAAGTCACTGGTATCAACAGAAGTCATAGGTGTCTTTCAAGATGCGTTTCATCCCTTTTCTTTTCATATTACTGCATATTCCGGTCTTCCAAGTCTTCATCAGACATTAGTTGCATCCTAACTGATTAATTAGGCCTGAAAAATCCCTTTCCGAAATTCTTTCGAGTCTCCTTTTTCATTACAACTTGTAGTAAAATTATCCTGGCCACAAAAAATCGCGTGTTATTTGTCACGTACGATGTTTGAGATTCCAAGTTATCGCTACATCTGATTTTTGCGATTCTTTCCTTCCTAGCGCTTGCATAAATCCTCGAGTTGTCAACTCGTCTAGAAATTCGATGAGATACATATAATCCGGTCGAAAGAGGAGTGAAAGAGTTGTGGCAGTGTCCGTTAACTGCCTTAGTGACAGCTACCGCCGAGGTTTAAGCGATCTCTTGTCTCTGACATCTACTATATATATATATATATATATATGCGTCTTTTAACCCCGAGACCTGCCGCTACTTGCTCTGCGTTTGGGGTCAGGCCAAAGGGACCATTATTAATTTTTGCCTTCCGCCCAGACAAATTGGATGGTTTTCCTCAACGTCATCGTTCTGGCGCTAATGGGTTTTGAATGGATTGTTGAGGACTTGCTCAGAAAAATCTTTACTCGGTTGACACAAATCTCCAAGCGAGTCTAGTGTTTGAATCTGTCTTCGTTGAAGTTCTGTTAATTATGAAAATGAAGGCAGCTGCAATGAATCACTTTTAAATAAAGTTTCATGGATGGGTCCTCTTTTTTTTTTTTAAAAAAAAGGGGGGGAATAATGCCACTTTCGAGCTAATGATTTATGACGGAAGAAAGCGTGTGATGGCTATATCAGATCTATTTTTATAACTGGAATGCATTCTGCATAATTGTGTGTTGTGTGAAGACTTGCGTAGCCTTATTTAAATAACCTAACTTCCTTAAGTAAGACCTTGATGACTTAATTTCATTCTTTCTCGTCTCCAACAGCTCGCTGCGGCAGTGAAAAAAACAATATCGTTTCTTTTCGCAGAAGCATTACTATGAAAAATGGCTAGCGGCAAATCTCTATGCTTAACCACCTCTGTCACTAACTACCGCCGCAGTGCGATAGGACGAGAGAATTAAGTTCTTAAAAGCGCACGAAAAAGCACTCTGCTTAAGAAACGCCATAAATCAGTTGCGTTTAAGCATCCCCTTCAGCGTCGGTGACATTGCCCGACTGGCACCATTTATTTACTTGTCCCCTCTCTGCCCTCTGAAACAAGAGGCAATGCTTACTGCAAAAATGAAAGTGAAAAAAAAATCATTAATAATCATTGCGTTTTCTTATCGCCAGAAACAAACGTAGTGACACCACTTAAAAGAAGTAATCTGTATCATTGTGCTATTAAAGTAAACACATAATGTGCTTCCAGAGGGTTGAACTGCTGGGCCTCTTTCCTATTATTAGAGGCTCGCTAGGACTTAATGTTTTGGTGGGAAGTGATAAATGATGTTTCTTCCAATTGAGTTTGAAATGGTAGGTAGGCAGGGGTCTTTGCAAAAAGTAAAGTCCTATTCTGTGATTGCGCGTGTCGTTATTTTTCTAATGGTTGTTACGGGTGGGGCGTAACCGCAGAAGGAAAGCGGATAGTTAGTTAACAAAGGTCAAGTACCTATGTCAAGCGTTGTAGGGCATTTCGGGGTATACTTACTGCATTTGCCGGATCATCATCCTTTTGATGATTCGTTTGTAGTTGAGACTTATTTTGTTGTCTGCCAAGTATTCGTATAGGGTAGTAGAATCGGCGACTGTAATTGGCGACATCCAGTATCTGGGATAGCGCAGATTATGACTTGCAAAGTATAGTGCTGGAAAAGGGAAGAAAAGAAGTAGGAGCTGCATTTGGAATCGCGCCAACGTATTACCTTTTAAACCTCCACGACTATTATTCGATGGTTAAGCGATCGCGTTTCTATGTATCAGCAGTTGAGGCTGCACTGCGGAATCAATTTTGCTTTCCCCCCCTATCTTCTTGCTTTTTGCGATGTAAGTGGTTTGTTACCTTGAATGGCAGTCGTCCTGCTCTTCAACCATAATGATGAAAGCGCCCGCTAAATGTGTGCGGATGTTCCATTAAATGCGTCTCCTGCTGTCATATAGTAGGTAGTTCGTCATTGAATTAAAGAAAGCATGCGTAGAAAAATGACAAAAGGAGAAAGAATAATGAAAATGTTAGTTATTTGATTTCATATCTTTTAATAATATGTGGCAATGATTGTTAAAATGTAGCTAACGTTATCCATAACTCGAGAAAAGAAATAATTTCTTGCGATATCTTGCCAATTTAGCGAGATTGTAATTTACTCAGTGTTAGATAGACTTGTCTCGGTATTCTTATTTTTCCGGCAAAGCTTCGCAAAAAGCTACATTACAGCAAAAAGATACTACAGTTTTGCATATAATTTGACTAAAATTATTTACATGCATGCAAAAAATTCGCAACAATATGTTGATACATCGATAAAATATTTTATAACTGTAATGTAATAATTGATATATAAAATTTGAATTATTGTATTAGAAACTGTCCTCATCTTTTTGTCCACGATTCTCTTAAGGAATTATGCGTAGTTCTCTTGTTAATTCACACCGTTTCGTTGGCGATAGGCGCAGGTTCATTCACATCCACAGAGTTCACATTCTTAACCAGCAGATAAAAGCGTGCGTTACTGAAAAGCGGGAAAATGCGTTGCTTAAATATCTTACGCTCGAAAGGCCAAATAACTTGAATGAACTGTTAAGAGGCCTAATTTTTCATTCTGTGTAACTTGCAAACCCTCGTATGTTCTTTCGACACCCCATCATCGCACTTTCATTTATTTTATGGAAATGGGATGAATTTATTGCTGTTGGTAAAATGATATTTGCTTCATTATTTTCAAATGACTTGTATTTTAAGATTAGTCCTTTTTCTTATTCCAGGCGTGCAACGAGTTCACGACGCACGTGATGAACCTCCTGCGGGAACAGAGTCGCACGAGGCCCATCACTCCCAAAGAGATCGAGCGCATGGTTCAGATCATCCACAAGAAGTTCAACTCCATCCAAGTCCAGCTCAAGCAGAGCACCTGCGAAGCCGTCATGATCCTCCGGTCGAGGTTCCTGGACGCCAGGTGACCTAGCCTTTCCATTTTATTCTTTTGAGACATTCTTTGCCGGTACATTAACACGGGTGTTAAAACAGTTGTAAGATCGAACTGATTTAGCGTAAAAGGGCACCCTGGAAGCAATCCGCCGTCTTTGCTGTCAGGCTTGTGCCTCTCTTTAAATCACGTTTCGATTAGCGAAAGCGATTCGTTCAGGATTTTTGAAACTTGTTATTCATGAAAAGCTTAGAATTTCAGAAATGGTATCAGATCTTTCCAATAGCAGTTCTTCATGGTGTAAAAAGGATAGGCATTAACTTTTAATCTATTATTAGTTTTCACTGTACTAAAATCAGCTTTAAAGTATTGAAAGTGTGCTTCCCCCCACGTTGATTAGATTGTAAGCGTAAGTGAATATAATTAGAGATCTTGTTTATAATAGAGTTGGTATTTAACCAAGTGAGCTAACTAACTATCAGATCATCGCATAAATAATGTCGATTTAACCAAGTTCTGAAGTGGAAAAAAATAATAGTACTAATTTAATCAAATGCATATTCCGCATTTGAATCTATAACTTTCTTCCAAAGCTGTAATAAGTTTTTTATGTCATACCACGAAGAAACCAGTCAGTTTATTTGAAAAAAAAAAATCTTGTAATTCCATTTCAAATTCCTCATGGGAATTGTATTCTTTTTCCATCACTGAAACTTTGCAAGCTTCGAATTGCCAGGCGCCCCCTCCCCCAGTGCCGGAGTGATAATGTTGCTGAATTCTGGTAGTTAGGCCCGGGTTTCGTATCCTGGCGAACGAACGGGGTGAATGGGCGTTTTCGTGGTTTTCCGCCTTGTCTAATGTGTCTATGAGCCAGTTTTCCTGAGAAAGTCCTTCTACGGAGGCATCCCTTTCCTTAGCCATATAGCCCTTGAGTGCTGTGTCATAATCAAATAAAATTCTCATTCGAAATTTACCTGAACTACAATGTTTCCTTCGTGGTACTTTTAACTAGTCTTGAGAAATCACTTGCTTAAACGTGTTAGAACATGTCTTATCAAGTCCTATCTGCACATTACTTATGGGATGACGTGAAGCAAAACCTTCTACTAAGTCTTCTAAGTTTTTACGTTTAAGTAGCCAGCAGTCTGTGCTGTTGTTGCAAACCAGCAAGCAGTCTGTGCTGTTGGGGCTTATTGGAAAGGTGTGTATAAATGAATAAATTATAATCAGGTTTCGATGTCGATATTATACTCCAAGCAAGAAGAATTTTCACTGTACATCACTAGCAGTCCATACTTTCGAATTTAAGTAATCGCACAAAATTTCAATCCTAGAAATACTTTTAAGTGTGTACAATTGCTAACATACACTGGTTTTCATAAATTAAGGGAAAATCACAAAAATAGCGATAACTCCCTCAAAAATAAACCAAACCGTGTAAAATTTGAATATGTTGCCAAGTAAGAGTAGCTGAGTAAAACTCCAATATGCAAATTAGTGACGCTGCACTCGGAATAAGTCATCTGCTAGGAGCATAAAAGTCCATGTTTGAGAGCAGGCCCACATATTTCACTGTGATAGTGACATCAGAAATCTGAGATAGCCAATTCGTAACAATAATCTCCAGGCATCATTTGCCTGCAAAACTACGATAGAAAGCCATTGGGAGACTAGAGGTAGGACAAAGTCAAGCAGAAGTGGCCAGATGGCTAAATGTTTGTCCTTCTGTGGTTCATAGACTTTGGAGGCAATTTCAAATCACAGATTCGGCACCTAGGAGGTTCAGCCAAGGACGGCCAACTGCTACGACGACTGCCGATGACAGATATTTGACATTCTGTGCACGCAGGAATAGAACCGCTACTCCGACTCTTCTTAGATCTTCCCTTGCTGCAGCCACTGGGAGGTTGGTGTCAGCGTCAACTGTGAGTAGAAGACTTCACGGAGGTGGTCTGTATGCGAGACGAACAACCATTTGCATGCCGTTTAAGTCACGCTATAGCAGGGATCGTTTCCAGTGGGCTCGACAACATGTTCACTGGACGCCTGAGCAATGGAGGGCTATTCTGTTTACAGATGAGTCCAGGTTTAGTCTAGAAAGCGATAATAGGCGTTATTTGATATGCAGAGAACCTGGAACCCGTTATCATCCGTTTAACATCCGTGAAAGAGATGCATACGGAAGAGGCAGTGTCTGTGTTTGGGGTGGCTTCTCTTTGGGTGGACGCACAGACCTACAACGTTTTTCCAAGGGGAACCGTGAATGCTCATGTTTATAGAGATGATATCCTTGATGCTTATGTGCGCCCATATGCCGGGGCAATAGGTGATGCTTTCCTGTTACAGGAAGACTACAAGACCACACAGGGCTCGCATCGTATACGATTATCTTCAACAGGAAACAATTATGCGCATTGAGTGGCCAGCTCGATCCCCGGACTTGAATCCTATCGAGTACGTTTGGGATGCTTTAGGAAGACGTTTAAAGCTGCTCTCAATCCGCCCCCTTAGACCCTTGCCGCGCTTGCAACTGCTTTGCAAGAGCAATGGCTCTCGCTTCCTATGGAACTGATAGACCGCATAACTGAAAGCATCACACATCGCTGAATCCGCTGTATTGCTTCTAGAGGCGATTATATTCCATATTAAAGGTACTTTTACTATAGTAAACTGACATCTTCGATTTGTTCATTCTATACATGTGCTAATTTCTATACTACCATAATTGTCTGGTAATTTCTTTTTATGTTATTTGATACCTTACTATGTGTTGTATATTGTGGGTAGTTTCATAAAATTCTACATGTAAACTTTTTCAGTAATCGTGATTTTTGTGATTTTTCCTTAATTTATGATAACCAGTGTATAATAAGTCACCTAAAAATTTTCAAAATCGAATATGCGAATAAATGAAAGGTTTACATTAAAGAAATTATAAAGGAGTATGAATTTAGTCGAGTGTATTATTATGTTGATATGTTCCTTAGTTGTCATAAGTCTCAGCATAGAATATTTTTCCATGGTGTCTGTAGCTTAACAGAGTGAATTTACTTAAACTGGTTTCAGGGAACTAAGTCTGTTGTAGTGTTTAGCTGCATTGATTACGATAGCTATGAAATATAAAAAAAAGTAAATATGAGTTATAGTTTAAATTAGCAGCATCCCCTAAATTCTTAATTTTATTTCCCCTCTCTGTTCTAAAAATGGTAAGGTTTTTTTTGCGCTGCGTCATATCCGGATTAATCTATGTCATATGACTCTTACATAACACTTGTAATGTAAATAGAACTAAAACTTAAACAGCCAATAATAATTTTACAGCAGTATTAACTATCCAATCCAATGCATTGAGAACCCAAACTAACTCATTCTGAATTAAGATTTCGTCTCGAAATGCAAGACACTTGCCTTCTACACTTCAGCGTAGTTGCACTATTGCTTGCTGCTTTCTGCTTGCAGCAAAGCTATCAAAAATGTGAAAGTTTTGAAACAGGCACGGGTAGTGTTACAAGTTGTTTGTGGCCGCAACATGTTTCTAAAATAATTTTTTTATTCTGTAACTAATTGCAGTGTTTAACGTATATGACAAAAGGTTTCATATATATTTGCATAAAGAATGGATCGATAGAATTTTTAGATGAGTTTTCAATTTCTTCTTATGATATACATTCGGCATTTAAGGCAGACGACTTTATTTTTAAGACAAGTGATTGACTTTTACATGAATAAATTTATTCCTTACGAATCGGTTATTCTAAAATAAATTTCGAGCGTTTTTGAATGTTGTGCTATATGCGCATACGTAATCAGTGCAGAATCGCAGCTTCCATATCCTCGCGAAATATGATTCTTTGCTCTCCGGTGACAGACGATTCGAAGATTATGCCACTAACAATTCTAAAAGGAAAGGAAACGGAATAACCAATTTTTCTTCCTTCTACCCCTCGTAACCCCGCTTATTATTTTTCCTCCTTCGCAGATATAAACTGAAATACAACCGTCTGAAGGGGTGGTGGAACCATTTCTATCATTTTATTTTTGAGTAATCGCCAGCGAATAATAGAAAGACAGAGCACCACTTTTCGTTGTCGGAATGAGCAAACGACCCTATCCTGGGTGTTAGTAGCAGAAGATTTCTTTCGTTTCGGAATGAAAAGGATTGTCCTTGCAGCGTCGAATTTCTCACGTCTCTGAATCTTTGAAGAAAATTTTTACTGTCTAAGATTTGTTTACGCTGATTTTTTTTTCGCCCTATACCTCACCATTCCTTCTTTTACCCTGATGAAATTTCGCCGAATGTTGACAGAAACAACCAGAAGAAGAATCACTTTAAATGTTCTCCGGCAGAAGTGTTGGATTTAGTGTACTGTGTTTGCCTTACAAGTGGCGCGAAATTCGAGAAAACGCAAAGGAAAAACAGTCTAGGAATAGTTTTGTTCCATATTCTTTGTTTGAAAATTCGAGACCAGTTTCTGAAACCCTCAGTGTACTGAAAAAAACTCTTAAAATTTCATCTGATTATTTAACCGAATAGTTTAAAGTTTTTCAGACAAAGCGTTAGAAATATTAGCTTTCTGAAACCTGAATTGGTAGATATGTTGGAAATTATTACACAAGATTGGTCGAGAAATAGTCGTGGATGTTAATTTTTGCAGAAATAAATGATATTCAATAAGTTATGGTGCATCTTCACTGTATTTCCTAAATTACATGGCTTCTTAATAACATGACTTTTTCTGTGTGTGACTTTTTATAGCAACTTCAAAAACTAAAAAAGATACTCACATTTGATCAACATTCCGGAAAGAATTTTTTTGAGTTAATGTTTGCAATTACTGCAGCGTGTTTTCCCTTTAAGTGGCCAAGATTTTCATTGTAAATTTGTATTGATTTTCATCTTTATTTGAACATCTCCTAAGAAAAGAATCTTGAAGGATAAGATTCAGGTTGCATGAGGGTCAAATTTTGTCTATTACACCTCCCGGAAAATGAATGTTTAATGTATTTTGTATGGTCGAAAATATGATTTC